ACACATATTTGTAAAGTTTCTTCCCTTATGATCGTAAAAAGAAGAATAATATAAATATTCAACGAATATGTTCAATTGGTAATTTAAAATATCTATTCACCAATGTATTGTTTACTTAAACATTTGACTATTGTATTTAATACTAAATTGTAATAATCAAAGATATTATGTGATATTGTCATGAGAGAGTAAATATGTAACGCCCCAAATTTAATGAAATTAGGGACTAAATTGAAAGTTTCAGAACCTTACAGCCTAGATTTGATCTTTTAGGGAGTTTAGGGACTAAACTTGGAATTATCCTATTATTTCTGTTCAGTGGAAAAATAATAAAAATTCATCGTGTGGTTAAGGGGTTTGAAACCCCTGTCCTCAGCATGGCCAACCATCACCCTACCTTTTAGGCTAAGGTACTATTGTTTATTTTATATTAAATCATTGTTTAATTGGTTATGGTTTAGATATAACCCCCAAAAGCCCCAAATCCCCCATCCAAAATCCCTAGCCGACGAGCCTTTTCACCCCCAATTCGCCACCGTCTGGCCACCTCAGTTCGCGCCACCACCATTGTTTAGAGTGACATTGACCGACAATCAAAACCCCCATGGAAAATCGTCGTTAGCCGTCGCCATTAGCCGTGAGGAATCATTTGAAGTTCCGCCAAGATCCCCTTCCCCGTCATTTCAATTTTCATCAATTTCAGTCGATCCGGCGACCATCTTGTCTCATTGCCACTATAGTCGAATTCCTCGTCACCGTGCGCCCAAAATCGAACCGATGGGTTGCGTCGCCTTCGTCGTTCATGCCATCCATCGTGGTAAGCTTCCGATCTCGTTCATCCGATTAATTGTTATGTTTTTCCTTATTTTTTGAGTTAGTATAGCTTGATAATGATGATTGGTTTCTCATGGAATGTTTCGCTACCATACCCGACCCCTATTATTATCGCACGCACTGTCACGCGCCGGTAGTACGCGTGGGGCTCGTCCCCTAGCTCTGGTTTCTTCTAGAACCGGTCTAGACCGACTCAAACCGGCTAACCCATTCTTAACTAGGTCTTTTTTACCTAAACCGAGTCAACCCAACTTGAACCGTTGACTTTGACTTGACTCGTTGATTTTGACCAACATGTTGACTTTGACATGACTTATTGACTTTGACCAGAGTTGATAGTTAACTTTGACCCGAAAAGTAATTTTTTTTGAAAAGTTATATTTTATGTTTTTCGAGATCCTGAGTCCAAATCTGAAGTCTGTTTCCCCAAATTCAAACCTGGTAAGTTGTTTTTTAGTATTTTACCTTTAGATTTGATCCGTTTTCTATAATTAAGTGTTATTTCTGATGTAATTTTTGTTTATATGTATCCGAGATATTATTGGATGTTCAATTCAAGTTCGAAAGTGATCGAATAGACTCAGTTTAGTTACATGTTTAATCAATGGAGCATGAAAGTTGAGGTAATACATTACAATCTCATGTATGCTTTATGGAACATGATGACATTAATTATTGCTTATATGAAATAAGTTTAGTTACATGTGTGTAATTAATATATTTATAAACTCGTTTCAAATACGATGAAACATAATTACACTAAATAAGACTCAGAGATTAACTGATAAAGCAATCAACCTTAGAAACTTTAAGTTATAATTATTTTCGTTAAAAGGTTTAATACCGAAATTACATGGTTAAAAATTACAAAATTACCCCTATGAGGTAAAAATTGATCAGATTGACCTTGATAGGGAAAGTACACTGAGAATTTGTATATAATCTAACAAACTACTTATTCACCTATTAAATTTATGATATGTTCGGAAAGTCACTGATAATTAGATCTTAACATTCGAGAATGTACAAGACCTAGAATCATTGATTTATCAACAAACAACTAAAGACTAAAACATCGGGAGCATTATTTATGTTTGAGTTGTTCAGAAAATTGAATAATATGGAAATACTGGATTAAAGAAAATGACCAAAATGTCCTAAAGTGTAATATCACCCAAAATACCTCCAAGCCCCATAATGACTAAATACACTCAAGCTCCGAAATGAATAAATCAATCTCAAATACCAAAATAACCTAGAATTTCTATTTCTTGAGCGAACATCCGGAGACTAAATTACTAAAGGTACTTTACACGTCTCAGTTTCTCAAAATGACTATATAATATGACCAAGTTGAACTGAATGAAAGTATTATATGCAATCTGAATTGTGGAAACAACTGAATTACTCTGGAAACTCCGAAGTGACCAGGATAAACTTGATAACTAAATGAACTATGTTCCCTTAATGACATAGAATTAAGTGAAAGACTGGGATAAGTCTGGAAACGCTAATGAATTTACGCGGTGTACTGTCCATAAGGGTTTTAAACCACGAATCAAGCACGTCGATATTTCTTGATACTGTTGCAATACTGAAATGAAATAAATACCATTGGAATACCTATTCGTATTCATAAGATCCATTCAACGATGATTATGAAGATGATCATTTCGACTAGTGATGGTAGTATTAAAGTGTGAATATCCTTGAAGTGCATCAATTTGACTGGTTTTCAAGTACCATAGTGTTGGTATTTGTTTAGTTCGAGTTGACTCGATATCTTGGTAAATTGACATGAATCTTAAATACAATGAATCATTGTTTCACTCTTATTAGATTAAATTACTAAGAATTCTCCAAAAACCAAATCTCCAAAATACCCTGATTTCCTGAATAATGGAATCACTCCTGTTATACCTTAAATCTCAAGTAACTTTGATGCAAAATATTTTTGAATACTTTCCTAGTTACTTAGTGCCTCCGAAAAAATATTCGAATACTATATGATCTTTATAAATCAATTCCCAAATGACTAATGAATCTAATAGCTAGTAAACCTTTTTTTATAGGGATCTTGATTATGAAATCCTATTAAATTACAAAAGTTTCATGGTTTCCCACCTAATAAATACCAAGTACCTCCAAAGAATAACTGTATCCTCTAGTGTGTTCCCTATGTGACATGTAATTGTTTTATCTGTTTTAAAACATGATTTTTCAAATTTACAGATTTACTGATGTTTTGATTTACTGATAATGAACGCTACATGATATTGTTATCTGATTACTATTTTCACTGGAAAATATAATTATTCCTGATTTATGGATCACGGGATCTACTGGTTACTACTTGAACTATTTTATTGGGATATTGTCTAAGCAAGCTGGATTATGGAGGTTCAGCTCTGATCAAGCTGGTAATCCTCATGGACCTAAGGTGACCTTGGGTAGGCTTTAAGGCCTCAAGGCACTCCCTTGGGTAAATCATGGGATTGCATATGGTGTATGGGTGGAGGGTAATTATGTGATATAAATAATTTCATTGTCACTCTTACGATATTCTACTGGATCATGTTTTCGATATTAAAGTTACTGCTCAATCTGATTTCTATTGGATACTGTATGGGTAGGATTCTAGAGTATGGAGGTTCAACTCTGATCAAGCTGGTAATTCCTTACGGACCTAAGGAGACCCTTGGGTAGGTCCATAGGCCCCAAGGTATTCCCTTATGATGGCTCATTTGTTGTGTGCTTAGGGTAAGTCCTTATGGATGCAGTTTCTATGGAAACTGCATAAAGGTGTTCGGTTTGAGGATATTATGGTGGTTTTAAAATATGTTTTAAACTACTAACATTTTAAATGATCTGTATACCTTACTCTATTTTGTTGGAACGCACTAGACATCCTATTCCGATCCCTTGAACTTGGTCCTCTGAATGTTTCCTTTGAACTGAAATCTTTATGTCTTTTACTCGAAGAAATATCAGTGGAACCTCAGCTCATCCCAAAAATTGGTAGACATCTGAATCAATAAGGAAAATTTATACTAGCCTATTATTTGCATGTCCTTCAGCATCACTTGGTAGTTTTGTATTACTGAGCTTCGCAAAGCTCACTCTTTACTCACCATTTCAGGTTAAAAGAATCGAACCAGTGCAACTATTGACATCAGTAGAGGAGTTTCATCCATGTTGCATGCGACGTACGGTGCGTGTGATTAGGGGCATGTGGGTTGTACTCTGTTTTTATATTCGAGTTTGAAACCTGTTTTATTACTAGATAGTGTTGAATTTTACTTTTAATATATAAATGATGTTATGAAATTGTATTTTATTTATAAATTGTTATATGATTTTACACATTAAACAAAATTTTAAAAATTTTCTTAGATTTTTACTGTGGGTCGCTCCGGTGGCCCTAATGTGACACAACGGATCGGATCGGGTCACCTGCATCGGTCTAAAGGTGTTACAAAATATGCTTTGTATTCTTTTTCTATTAACCAAGGTTTTATTCCTCTAAGTTTTCCTAATAAGATTTTTAATGAGACAAAATGTTATTCTTACTAAAGATATGTGTACCAATTCTCCTTCATTAAGGAATTTCTCATATATTTTTGTCTTAGTAAGGTTTTAATGAGACATTATATTCATAAACATCCAAGAGAAATTGTTATGAATATTTATTTATGTGAATGTCTATCTTCATCTATAAGATAGAGTTTTGATTAGGACTTTAATATCCATTAGATTTAATATTTTATATAATATCTACTACTTATAAATATGGAATTTGAAGAAAATATTATACACAACTCATATTGAGATAACAATATAATTCTCTCTCATTATTCTTATTTCTCTTATTTGAGTGGATCGAAAATCCTACCTAACTGTTATATCCCCAAATTAAAACCTAGTATGTTAAAGCCATATAAATCGTAAAACGTGACAGGCAAAGACAACACCCCCATGAACCCAACTAAGTCGTGGGATACTGTAGGATGTGCATGTAAGTACGTTGTCGTGGTCTATTATATTCTCAAACAATAACAGAAATTATATAATGATAAAATAGGGAAAAACCTGCATCCCTTAATTTTTAATTTCGAATTTAGTCATCCAATGAAATGAGTTAAGATTCTCTGCTCTGCGTTGTGACACTGAGTTGATTCAGTCATTCATCATCCTCACTCAAATTCTTGTTTCTTTCTTCTTCTCTTTTCATCTCCTAACCCTAACTTTCCACATTTCTTCCTTCTTTTTCAAGCATCGCACCACATTCTTCCGTTTCAGATTTCTCGATATGGTGGCTCTATCGCCGCATTCGCCCCAAACTTACGTTTCTACGCCTACAAACGGAGCAGAATGTGTCGAAATTCAAGCGGGGAATGGCGCATCGCCCAAGGACAACGTCGCCGGGAAACGGAGGGTCAGTGCGAGATTACAAGCAGCGGCCAAACGAAAAGCTGAGAAGATGGAACTTTTGTCTAAGCGAAAATTGGAGCTTGTGGATGAAGATGGTGAAAGAAGCTCAAAAAAACTGATTGTGGATACTAACAAGTTAAAGCAAAAATTAAAACCGCAACATGCTCGAACCGGGATACAACTTCTTATTGAGATACCTTTTAACCCTGCTGAACCTAAGATCAGCAAGAAAGTGGCCAAAATGGTGGAACGAGCCTCTAAAATTTCAGAGGGATTAGATGGTATAAATACTCTCAATGTTGTCGAGAAAAGTTCCCATATTAAAGTCAAGGAGACTGTAAGGTTGTTCAACAAGTATTATCTTCACTTTGTTCAGGCATGTCCCTGTTTCTATTGATTTTTTATCTTCTTTTGTTGGTTTCAATTTTGATAGTAATTTCACTTGCACTGCATACTGTTTATCATTTGTGATGGGTTTAGTTCATTCTTTCATAATGGCTTATAGGAAGAGGAAAAGAGATGTGGTGTTGTTAAAGTTGCCAATAAAGCCGGCAAAAAAGCCGCTAGGGCCAATAAAGCCGCTAAGGCCAACAAAGCCCGTGTAAGATATCCTTGTCTTTGTGTTCAGTTGCATGGATCACGACACTAAAATCTTTACGTTTGTGTATAGTTTTAAATTTATTGCCCCTTTACCCTGAACAAAGGTGAAACTTGGATTTTGTTTTTCTTTCATTCATGCAATCTATTTTTCAATTTCATTTTACTGTAAAAAAAATTTTGCAGAAGGAAAATGTAACTGATGCTGACAGTAAGGGAAAAGCTAAGCGACCTGACTTAAAGGCAATGACAAAGGCAAGTAAATGTGTTGTTGATTTGTGCTTTTTTCATTCTGGTTGTACTGTTTAAAATCCAGTATAGCTTCATTTTCTGTTATTCAAGGATAGAAATATATATGACCGACTTACATCCTTTTCCCCTCTTATGTTTGAGTCAAATCATATTGGTTAGATCGAATCATGCTATGTTTTCATTTGATGAAATGTTTTGTCATATCACCTTATAAAATAACATGGTAATAAATTGTTTCATATTATTCTGCCCCTGTAATATAAATAGACACTTATTGGCCATATCGGGAAACCATGTTGAACTATTATTGTATGATTATAAATTTATGATAATTCTATAAAATTTTCTTGATTCCATTCATTTCACTGCTTCTCATATTTATTTTGCTTTAAGTATGGCATTATCTTGTTAATACTGATTTTGATGTTATAGAGCCTAATATTTTCTCAAAATAAAAACATTTGTAGATGATGGAGAGAAAGGCAGTGCTTTATCCACAGAAAAGGATAGGCAACATTCCAGGTTGGTTGTGAGAGCATATCCTTGTAGTATTTTTGAGTTGAAGAAACTATTCTCTCAGATGTCTTTAATGTATGGCAGGCATTGATGTTGGTCATCAGTTTTATTCACGTGCTGAAATGGTTGCAGTTGGTTTTCATAGCCACTGGTTGAATGGTATTGATTTTATGGGACAGTCCTACCGGAAAGGGGTAATAGATTCAATGTTTTCCTGTGAATGTGTTATAGATCATTTTTCTCCTTTTAAAGTCTTTTTGTTTATGTTTTCAATGGATGCTCCATAACTGCATTATCATATGATTTCTACATTGTGCACTGCAAGTTTACTCTCAAGCCTGTCAAAAAATGAGAAAAAAAAAGTCCATGCAAAGAGGTTTCCACTGTTTGTTTTGCTCTCAACAAGTGTAGTTGGTTACCATTAAGAGATCTTATTGACTAAAATATTCCTTAAATAAAAATATATGAACATGAGGTTGCATCTGAAGATCTGGACGCCTCTTGCCCCTTCTTTCTTGTCCAGTGCAAGACTTTCTGTTTCTCGTCTGGATTAGAATCATGTTTAATTAACTCTGTAATTATCTGTGGCTGAGCAATAAGATCGAGATAACTAAAAACTAATTCAAACCTCAGTGTTTGGTTCATTTATTTTAGTGATTAACTGAACTCATCCAAACTAGTGGAGTTTGGTTGATTTGATTATCTCTGATATTCAGTTTGGTTTTAGATAGACCAAAATACCGCGGAGTAACTGCAATTTTTTTTCCAAAACCAATCTTAACTGAACTATCACCCTCTATAATTACTTGGCTTAATCTTTATTTCCTATTTGGACATTTTGGATAGATATTGCTTTTTCTTCTCCATTTCATGATCTTTAGGAGTTGTTCATGTGGATGCCAATTTTTGTTTGAGTTGTTGTTTTTGCTTGTCAAAGGAAGGAAACATAGTGTCGATAGCATTTACGAGATGGTCACCTCTTTTGTGTTTTACATTTTGTGCTTGAAAAACTGCAGGAGTATAAACACTATAAGTTCCCACTTGCAGTAGCTATAGTTTTGTCTGGCATGTATGAGGATGATTTAGATAATGCTGAAGATGTTGTCTACACTGGACAAGGAGGACATGACCTAACTGGTAGTAATAAACGACAAATTCGAGATCAAGTTTTGACACGTGGTAATCTAGCACTAAAGGTATGAATTCTAAACTCTCATGTATTTACATTATATATATTCTTGGATGGTTGTAGTTGAATAAATATATTTCGTTCCTATCGTACTTGGGAATTGGATATAATCTTTAAATAGAGCATAATGACATGCTTATGAAAATTCTTTATCTGTTTTGTGTATTTATTTGAGACTAAACCACCATGTTGTTAGATGCTTTCTACTGTCACATCTTGGGTCCAAGAATTGGTTAAAAGCTCTATTATGTATGTACATGCATGTGTATCCATGTTTATGTTAATGTAGGAATGCCTTGTCTTGCATCTGATTGTAGGTTCTAAATTCCGTGGCATCTTGAACATTTAAGCATGTTGAATGGCTTTGTGGTTTGTCTTTGGCTAAAGAGACAATTATTGCAAGTTGTTAAAATTTCATCTGTTCACATGGCACCAATTGCTTTAATGTGTTTGTTAACTGATGTGTCCAAGGGACATAGTTGCTTTGTAACTTTTTCTTTGTTTGGTCTGTCTTGAATGACATCTCATTGGAAGTCATCTTACATTCTGCCTGATTTTATTTATAGAACTGTCATGACCTTGGGGTGACTGTCAGAGTAGTTCGAGGTCATGAATGTACTAGCAGTTACTCTGGGAAAGTTTATACGTATGATGGATTGTACAAGGTAAGTTTCTGGGACATATTCTTAAGGTTTTGTTTTCCTGAACATTTTATTTGTTGGTTAAGGTTGCATTATTTGTTTTCATTAACTTTATCATATTATACATTGGACTAAAAATGAAATTGTAATTTTACTTTTCTGATATGCTGCACGTACCATGATGAATAAAACTGTAATCTTACTACTAATTTTTTGTGAATTATTAGACAATTCCTTCTGAGATAAAGAACTGATGGAATATGACCATTTTTGAGAACATATCAATATGATTAACATACCTTGGTGATGCCATCATGGATGAATGAGTCTTGCATTTGTCATCACAAGCATGCAGTTCTCTTGTTTCTGGAAGAATGAATGATCGTTCCAAATACTTTTCTACCCGAAAAAGCTAAAAGTTAAAAAGTGATCAGATGTTTATTGACTACATTTTTATCAAAAGATTATTCAAACAAGCAGTTTGTTGCGTGTCTTCTTGATTGGTGAAAACAAGCAATTTGTTGCATGTCTATTTGATTGGTGGTGAAAACAAGCTCTGCACCTGTCTTGTGTGCTACTGTTGTATAATTGAATTTTCAGTGTCTGGTTTTGCCTTGTAAAACCATCAGTTTTCAGATTGATTTGTCTTTAGTGTTGTGTATTTTGATCATGCAAGGATTCAATAGGACACTATGCATTTCAACACCTACGCCACATTTACAGGTTGAGAAGTACTGGGCAGAAAAGGGTCTGTCTGGGTTCACTGTTTTCAAATATCGACTGAGGCGGCTTGAGGGGCAACCAACATTAACAACTAGCCAGGTTAACTCTATGTTGTATGATTTTGGTTGACTAATTGCTTAAAATCTATAGACCATTTATCTTGGGATCAAATGTAATTCTGTTGAAGATGATGATTGTTCTGGTATACTTTCCCTGTAAATTGAGGTTGCTCATCAGCACATGTTAACTTCAGAATAGTTTTGGTAAAAGGCATTGTCTAGCTTATGGTGGTATTTTTTAATTAATGAATCCTGATAACTGGGGATGTGATGGATTACCTGATTTTAAAATTAGAATAAATCCCATATCTATTTATTGATATATAGTCTGAAAGAGGATTTCGGGTAAGGGTGTAATTGATGAAATAGGACTCTGGAGTCTGGACTCTTTTTGAAGGTATATTTTCAAACTTATTATAAAATTGCAATTACTTTGCTGTTGTTGGAAGATGCCTAGATCTCAAAACATCCTGTTATAGGAATTTGTTATTTCTGTGTTAGATCTTCTTATTGTTATTATGTTTTTTCATTCTTATAATAGGTTCAATTTGCCCATGGCCGTGTTCCCCAGTGTACTTCTGAAATTCGCGGGTATTTGAAGAATTATGTACTACAGAAAAATAAAATAATTGCTCGCCTTTTATCATTGATTGTAGTCTTTCTCAATTCTATTGTTTATTGGCTAAGGTTGGTGTGTGAGGACATAAGTGGTGGTCAAGAGAATGTTCCTATTCCAGCTACTAATTTGGTTGATGATCCACCTGTTGCACCTACAGGCTAGCTCAACTTTCTAATTTGTTTCTAAGTAAAGTATTTTCGTGCATAATGAAATCGAAATATCTTAGAGATACCTTTTGTTATAAGTGTTTCACACAAACATATTTGATCTGCTTCTTCTTGTGAGTTCAAGAGTCCACTGAATTATGGTCAATTTTTCTAGTTCATTGTTGCTGATTTATCTTATTATGCTCCAAACCAGCCACACCATCCATGAGTGTCTAAATTTTGCACCTTTTGTCTCCTGTCGTCTGAAGATAAGTTCCTGTAGACAATTCTACATGTAAATTGTTCATTGATTCTCTTTGATAAACTTTCTCCTGGTTGTCTCACGAAGTATGCTGCTGGGAGAGGTCGATTTGAAGGTCTACAAATTCTCAATTTCCAAGCAGTTTTTCTCCTTTCTATTATCATTTGCTGGAAGAGGTTCATCTGTTCACATTCTCAATTGTGTTGCATGTGCTTATGATGATCTATGTAACATGGATTCTTCATTTCCTTTCATTACATGTGTTTAATACATTTATCTGACACATATAAGACATGGATATAGGGGTATGGTTCTCCAAATATATGGGAAAACTTAGAAGACATTGAGCATACACATACTAGCATCTGACACTTACTCGAGTTTGCATAACATAGATAATAATGACACTCTTCTTCTCTTTTACTTTTCGTTTTCACCCTGTCATTCACCTTTATTCTTTCTTTTTAAAGATAGACCTTTTTCTTGCAATGCTATGCATACATAAGTTGCTAAAATTCAGTTTGTTCCTGTGTTTTTCAGGTTATGAGTACTGCAAGTCAATGAAAGTTGCACGAAATATAAAACTTCCTGCTAATGCCGTTGGATGTGATTGTGAGGGGCTTTGTTGGAATCCCAAAACTTGTTCATGTTCCAGGCTTAATGGTTCTGATTTTCCGTATGTACACCGTGATGATGGCAGGTAAAATCTTAGAAATAGGAAGGCTTAATAGCATGTGCCATACTCTTATATCTTATTGAAGTTAATCGCTTAATCTCTTCTGTGCCTCTTCTTCAATTCCAGGTTAGTTGAAGCCAAACATGTTGTTTTTGAATGTGGTCCAAATTGTGGCTGTAGTCCAGAGTGTGTAAATCGTACATCTCAGAGAGGATTGAACTATCGACTCGAGGTTTTCCTGTCACTGCAAGAAAAAACTACTCTTTCACTTCTTTATTTGACCCTCCGACATTCAGGATGAAACATCTCCACATAAAATCTGACATATGTGAATTGACAGGTCTTCCGTACTCCTAAGAAAGGATGGGCTGTTAGATCTTGGGATTTTATACCTGCTGGTGCCCCCGTTTGTGAATATATTGGACTGCTTACGAGGACAGAAGATCTGGATAGTGTGTCTGAGAATAACTACATTTTTGACATTGATTGCTTGCAAACTATGAGAGGACTCGGTGGTAGAGCGGTATGATTACTCTCTTTAGCATAGTACTGCATCTTGCTTTGCATTTCAAGTTGTTGGCTATTAGTTCAGTATAATAGTGACATCCAAAAGTGGCCCAACCTGTATTAGAAGAGTTCATTGGAAATCTTTTTTCTAATAAAACACCATTCTCTGATTTACGATATCACTCCTTTGAAATCATATATTGTTTTTCCTGCATGTTAGATTGTATTTATTCTGTTTCTATTTTCTTCAACAGAGTCGGCAACAGGATGCGTCTGTATCAATGATCCAGAACATTGACAAAAATGAACAGAGATCAGAAAGTGTCCCAGAGTTCTGTATTGATGCTGCTTCTGTTGGAAATGTTGCAAGGTTTATCAATCATAGTTGTGAGCCTAACCTCTTTATCCAGTGTGTCCTGAGTGCACATCAGGATATCAAACTAGCTCGAGTAGTGCTCTTTGCTGCAGACAACATTCCTCCTTTGCAGGTATTACCCCCTAATTTGGCGTCTGTAGAAGCACCTTTTAAATTTCTCAGGAAGGTGTTTGGTACCAATCTCTGGATTTTAATGTAGTATCTTTTATATTGCTTTGAGTATGACGATAACGCTTGGAGCTTGTGTAACTTTAGGGGTCATGCATCAGAGATCGTATTATGATTTACTTGTATGCTTGTATTTTCCTTGTCTTGCATTCCCTCGATATATTGATTATTGAATGGAGTCTGGAGTGACTGGATGACATTATATTTTGCTTGTAGGAGCTTACGTATGACTATGGATATGCCCTTGATAGTGTTCATGGTCCTGATGGGAAGGTAAAAATGATGCCTTGCTTCTGTGGAGCAGAAGATTGCAGAAAACGCTTATTCTAGGTCCTGAAGTTACTGTTGTTTGTATCTGCACTGATACATTTGTGTTACTAACATGTCAATATATAGTTTTCCTTGGGTGCTTTTCATGTTGATATCTTTTTGATGTTGTAGCAAGTTCGGAAATCTTGCATCCAAGATGATGAACTACAGTATATACTGGTTCTAATATAGAGCTCAATGGAATTTGATGGAAAGGAAAAGCAAGTTTTTGTCCAAAATCAGTTTGTTTTATGCAGTATTAGTGTAACACTCATTTCTCGTATACATTTCCGTATACACGTCACAGGTGTCACATGACTTTTAAAACATTTCCTTATTTCTAAACCCATAAAATTTTGTTTCTAAAAATAAAATATTTTAATATAATAATAATAAAACGTTCGTTAACTTTCAGTAGTTAAAATAGTCTTAAAGTTATAACATATTACAGAATTCGTAAGTCAAATACATTCCAGAGCATTTTCATAAGTCCAATACATGTCATCTAATTATCAAAAGTAGATATAATTGTCCTACAGTTACTGATGAGGCAACCTTTGATTGATGATATCCGCTACACTCCTTACTCCGGTAGTCTTTACTATTACCTACGCGTGAAACCAACACACGCTAAGTACTTACTTAGTGAGGCATAATAATACAATGAGGTGTAACCTAAAAATAAATATCATAAAATATCAAGATACAAATTTAAATCGTATAAATCATATTAATACTTAAACTGGCTTGGCAAACCAAGGTTCATTCACATAACCTGTGAAACTATATTTAGTCTGCCCAATATACCTATCAATAAGTAATTTTCCAATTTATCCATTATTTGCCCAATGTATGTCAAATGAGAATGCAAGGTACATGCGTTGCACCTAAGCGCCAAAATGAAAATTCACAAACTCATTATGAAATACATGGATGCACACATAGTGTCGAAAGTACATATAGTACTGATACGAAAATGCATCATTATGCATTAAACAAAATCGATCGATAACTTTCATACATAATTGTATGTCAAAATAGTAATTCACAAACTCATTATAAATACCATGGTTGCACATCTAGTGCCGAAAGTACACACAGTACTAATACGAAAATGCACCATTATGCATTACACAAAATTGATCGATAACCATTATATACAATTTATGTCGAAATACACCAATGACTCTCAATGCACATATAATGAGCTTTTAAGTCAAATTTGTAGATTAAACATTTATTTTTGAAACATCGATAATCATTAAAACAACATAAATGTTCATCTATTCATTTTAGAACAGTTCTTCTATTCATTTTAGAGCAGTTCATACTCTAAAATTGTTAGTAATATCATTTCCATAAACATTATGAAAACATATCGAAATACTGTAAAACATACTTTTATCAAAATATTCGAGGTTGACTCGTCGCAAGTCATCCTCATCTCATATAAGTACAATAAATGCACTCACCTGGTATGTGATAGGGAAGGAGTGGCGGATTGATGAACGTTGCTCTTGTTGAAGAATCAAACCTAGAAAGCTCTAGACTCGATGAAGAACAATGATGAATGAATAGAGAAGGTGGCGGCAATAGCTAGGGTTCTTTTAGGGTTTCTTTGAGGTGCTGAAAACAAGGTAAGAAACAATATTAGAACAAGATAAACAAAAGATAATGAAATTGAAAATAAAATAAGATAACCAAGAAATCAAAAGATCTCCCTTATGAAGGTGAACGGTAAAGATGATGATGGTGAGGATGGATTTGTGGAAAATAGATGGATAAGTGTCCTATCGAGCCCTCCTAGTCGCAATGAAAAGGAAAACACGATAATGTGGCTCTAACCAACCCTCCTAGTCGCGATGAAAAGGCAAATTGGAGTGTGAAGATTAATCTCCCTCACAAGAACTTGAAAGAACTCAAGGAGAAGAAGCTTCGAAGGCACAAGGAAATCAGCACTTGCGAAAACGAACTCTCGATATATTATTAATCAAAGAAATCTTAAATTACAAAATTTAATGAAGCCTCCTTTATATAGTGGCTGAGTTCTAAAGGTCCTAAATAACTAATGAATAAAATAATAATAAACTAAACATATCTTAACTCTAATTCCTAATAAAATAATAATAACTAAAGATAATATTTTTAACACAACCTTAATTCCTAATAAAATAATAAATCTAATCCTAAAAGATAATACATCATCCTATATTAAGTTATATTACAAATAATCAATAAAAATATTGAAAATTCGTAATATTTACAAAATCTCGTATTAATCCCGTATAGGATTTTCTGCATGCACCGTCTTCATTAAAATAGCCATATCTTGAGTTCCCGATATCGGATTGATACGATTCAAGAACCGTTGGAAAGATAAGAGACAGAAGGTCGTATCTACAGAAGACATCTTGACTAAATAAGATCAGGATCCCATTCAAAAAGTATTCGTAAGTCTTCTTTTGTTCTGATCTTCTTTTCCAATGCTTGGACGAGTGGATCACTTGGAAGAGTTATTACTTCTTCCTTTGATGTGAGCCTTGTGATGCATGTATCATCCTCCATTTCTTCAAAAAGATTCGACCTCGAATTTTGTTCTTCTAATAGGTTCGAGTAGAAACATTAGTCCAAAGAAGCATGTATTATGGACTCTGGTGCATGTATCAGTATGCCTCACTATTATGCCTTAATTGTAGACCAACTAATCTGCTACTTTATCCTTGCCTTTTTGCTTGCTTGACTCAGGAGTTTGGTTACGATCTACACAAGCATCCATAATCACACATACATTACAAATGTTAGTATATTGTCTAACATTTATACAAAATAATAATACTCAAAAGTACTATTATTTTCAAACTCTATTAAAATTCATCATAACATAAAATTCCAGGTTGAATATTATCGATACCCCTCCTATGGTATCGATACTTCTATACTATGGTACCGATACTCTCTTCAGTATCGATACCATTTTTGCATTCTAAAATCCATTTTTCAATTATAGTATCGATATGTTCCTCTTGGTATCGATACCCCACATCAGTATCGATACTACTTGCATCAATATCGATACTGTTCATCGTGTTCGTCCTCTTTCCTAAAATTTAACCCTATAGTATCAATACTGTTCTTTCGGTACCGATACCCTTACCCAGATTTTTCTTACTTCACTTCAATTTTACCAAATTTCCGCCTAAATCTCTTACTTTTATCTCCAGCCATACCATTAAACTCATCATCACTTAACCCAACTAACTTACCTCCATAAATCTTCTTATAACATATAAAATCTCAAAAGAACACTCAAAACTAAGAATCACACCAATTTTTCAAACATGTTTTTAATCACTTCTAAAGCTCCAAATATCTTATTTACTTCTTTGGAAAGTCAAATATACTTTTAAACTTCAATAACTAACCATATTTCATCAAATCACTTAGAAACCCTTTTTATTAAATCTCAAATAAATTATTCATCTCTTAGTTTTAATCCTCTTTGAACTTTTCTTAAGCCTCTATATCACTTAAGGCTTCAAAACCAACACAAAAAAGAAAGGGAAAACCAACTTGAATAAACATTACCTTTGCTATGGAGGGCATGGGGACGTCAGGAAGAAGAAGAGGAAGAGAAGTTTAAGCTTTGTATCATTTTCCCCTTTTCAACCTTAATAAATATCCCCAAAAAGAATGAATATTAAATTCATTCCTTCTAAAAAACCAAATTTCCCCTTCATTCTCCCATTCTTAATAATTAGTCTTAAACACAATTTCCTAAACCATTCCCTATACTTTTCAATTTACTCAATTTAATCCACCAGAATTTTGATCCTTTTACTATGGTCATCGACCCGATATTTGGGGTATTATAATTCTCCCCCTTAAGAAAATTCATCCTCAAATTTTAAGATGTACCTGATGTGAAGAGGTGTGGAAACTGCTTCCTCATATCCCCCTCTTTCCCAAGTAGCTTCTTCGACTTTATGATTTTGGTGAAGTACTTTAACTAGAGAAATCTTCTTGTTACGCAGTTCTTTGTTTCTCGAGCCAAGATCCGCACTGGTTCTTCCTCGTAAGTCAAATCTGGTCGGATCTATATTTTCTCTGGTGTGATGATATGCGATGGATCTGATCAGTACTTCCTGAGCATCGACAAATGAAAAACATTGTGGATCTTGTCCATATCGGGAGGCAAAGTTAACTGCTAAACTACTAGTCCGACCCTTTTTAAAATTTCATAAGGTCCAAGAAATCTCATACTCAACTTTTCTTTGAGCCCAAACCGTAATACTTTCTTCCAGGGCGATACTTTTAGAAATACCTTATATCCCATGTGAAATTGAATGTCTTTTCTCTTTAGATCAACATAAGAATTTTGTCAATCGGAAGCTATCTTAAGATTATCTTGGATAACTTTCACTTTATCTTCCATTTCTTTCAGTAAATTCGGGCCAACTAAATCTCGATCTTTTAGCTCAAACCAATTTAATGGTGTTCGATACTTCCTCCCACACAAGGCTTCATACGGAGCCATCTTAATACTCGATTGGTAAATGTTATTATAAGCAAATTTCGCTAAAGGAAAATATCTTTCCCATGATCTTTTGAATTCAATCACGCATGCTCTTAGCATATCCTCCAATATCTGAATAGTTCACTCTGATTGGCCATTTGTCTGCGGATGAAAAGTTGTGCTGAAATTCAATCGAATACCTAATACCTTATGCAAGGACTTCCAAAAACTTGAAGTAAACCTTGGATCTCGGTCAGATACTATCGAAACTGGTACTCCATGCAACCGAACTATCTTTTTTATATACAACTCTGCATATTTATCCATATAATAATCTATCTGAACTGGAATAAAATGAGCTGTCTTGGTTAATTTGTCCAGAATTACTCATATTGATTCCTTTTTACTGGGTGTAAAAGGTAGCTCTGAAACAAAATCCATTATAACTCGTTCCCACTTCTACTCAGAAATGGATATCGTTTGTAGCAATCCAGAAGTCACTTGATGTTCAGCTTTCACTTGCTGACATGTTAGGCATCTTGCAACAAATTATGATATAACACTTTTCATGCCAGACCACCAATAACAACTTTTTATATC